TATATATATATATATATATATATATATATATATATCGTATTCATCTGAATGACTACTGGAGAAAATCTAGTATGCAGGCAACGTACCTATGGGATTATCCTAAAATTCGAAACTAACTTTCATTAACGGTTTTAAAGTAACAAAAGCGTTTCTGAACGAATAGGTAAATACTACTAGAACATCCAGATTTTCGTTATATTTAGAAAACCCATAAGTTATCGAAATAACTACGCTGAGGAACGTTTCTGAATGTATGAGTCAAGAGTTGTCAAACTAACAGATGGCAACTCTAAAAACGAGAAAAGTAATGCAACAGAAACTTGAGAGAACAATTTTTTTTTCTTATGGACCAATACTTAAAAAAACATTAGTGCCCAATAAATATCTTCTTTAGAAAACAGATGGTCATGGCAGAGTGTATTTGGTGTCTTAGTTTTATATATAATCGTTGTGTTTTCTGGTGTCTTAGTTTTATACATAATAGCTGTGTTGCCTGAGGTATTAGTTTTATACATAATCGCTATGTTGTTTGATCTGTTAGTTTTATACATAATCGTTGTGTTGTCTGATATCTTAGTTTTATACATAGTCGTTGTGTTTTCTGCCGTCTTTTTTTTACATAATCGCTGTGTTATCTCGTGTTGTATATGTATACATATACTTTTGTATATGATAGCTGTGTTTTCTGGTGTTTTGCTTTTAAACATAATCGCTATGTTGTCTGTTGTATTAATTTTATATATAATTGCTCTGTTACGTGATGCCTTAGTGTTATACATAATCGCTATGTTGTCTGATGTATTAGTTTTATACATAATCGTTGTGTTTTCTGGTGTCTTAATTTTATACATATTCTTTGTGTTTTCTGGTGTCTTACTTTTATATATAATCGCTACCAGAAAACACAAAGATTATGTATAAAATTAAGACACCAGAAAACACAACGATTATGTATAAAACTAATACATCAGAAAACATAGCGATTATATATAAAACTAATACATTAGACAACATAGCTATTATATATAAAATTAATACAACAGACAACATAGCGATTATGTATAAAAGTAAGACACCAGAAAACACAAAGATTATGTATAAAATTAAGACTCCAGAAAACACAACGATTATGTATAGAATTAAGACACCAGAAAACACAACGATTATGTATAAAATGAATACATCAGACAACATAGCGATTATGTATAACACTAAGGCATCACGCAACAGAGCAATTATATATAAAATTAATACAACAGACAACAATGTATAAAACTAATACATCAGGCAACACAGCGATTATGTACAAAAGTAAGACACCAGAAAACACAACGATTATGTATAAAACTAAGACATCAGACAACATAGCGATTATATATAAAAGACACCAGAAAACACAAAGATTATGTATAAAACTAAGACATCAGACAACACAATGATTATGTATAAAACTAAAGCATCAGACAACACAGCGATTATGTATAAAACTAATACATCAGGCAACACAGCGATTATGTACAAAAGTAAGACACCAGAAAACACAACGATTATGTATAAAACTAAGACATCAGACAACATAGCGATTATATATAAAAGTAAGACAATGTATAAAACTAATGCACCAGACAGCATAGCGACTATGTATAAAACTAATGCACCAGACAGCATAGCGACTATGTATAAAACTAATGCACCAGACAGCATAGCGACTATGTATAAAACTAATACATCAGACAACATAGCTATTATATATAAAGCTAATACATCAGACAACACAGCGATTATGTATAAAAGTAAGACACTAGAAAACACAACGATTATGTATAAAACTAATACATCAGGCAACACAGCGATTAGTCGCTATGCTGTCTGGTGCATTAGTTTTATACATAGTCGCTATGCTGTCTGGTGTCTTAGTTTTATATATATTTGTTGTGTTGCCTGATGTATTAGTTTTATACATAATCGTTGTGTTGCCTGATGTATTAGTTTTATACATAATCGCTGTGTTGTCTGATGTATTAGTTTTATACATAATCGCTGTGTTGTCTGATGTATTAGTTTTATACATAATCGCTGTGTTGTCTGTCTTCTTAACTTTGCCTGACTTAAGAAAGTATTGAAAAACAAGAATCACTTCAACTTTCAAAGTCTTGGAAATGTTTTTATGAGAAACTATGTTTTGCTTTGTTTTTAATTCTTGAAACTGTTTTGTATTCTCACGCTTTCTTCCACATTTTTAAAAAAATATTTCTTAAAAGCTCTTTTTTTATCGATTTTTTTAAGTAGTGTGTTACGACGGACTTGAAGACTTTGGAAGATTTAAAGTAAACTCGCTGATTTGTGAACGTTTCTTAAAAAAAACTGCCATTAACATTTGATTTATTCTCGAGCTTCCCGTTGGCCCAGCGGTAAGTTTATGAGCTTATAACGCTGCAAATCAATTACGATACCCGCAGTGTACAAAGCACAGAATGTTCATTATATGGCTTGTGCTTTAAAACAAACATAGGGGTGTAGGTGGCAAACTGAAAGTAGTGGGGGGAGCAAGGTTTATTTGACCGTGAAAAGCGAGGGAAAGTGCGCATTAGGTGCATCCATTATGGTTGGGATATAGGGCTCGCCTTAGGGTCCAGAAGCTCTCGGGTTCTGAATTAAATTTTATGCATTATCCTGTTTTTCCTGAGAGTAATTTTCCTGGTTTTGATGCATTTTTATTAAGACAGATTGAAAAGTGTGTGTGTGACCCCCGCTTCCTACGTCACTGAAACAAGTATACTGGGATATCAAGTTGGAGAATGTGAAGTCGCCTCTAAAGGTGATAAATCATGCAGGCTAAAGTACACTCTAGAACAATTGAAAGAACTGAAGAAACAAGCAGTCCACTTTTCACAGGATTTTTAATTAGAAGATACAGTATATTTTGGTCTTCCGCAGCTGCGCACTAATAAGGAAATTATGAATCCTTTTGTTAACTAGTGTTGCCATGATTATAGTAACCGTTCCTTAACTACATCGTTGTCATGCTACTTACTAACCATTTATCAACTACATTGTTGTCACGCTACTAACCGCCCCCAGTGGCGCAGCGGTATGTCTGCGGACTTATAAAGCTAGAATCCGGGTTTCGATACCCGTGGTGGGCAGAGCACAGATAGCCTATCGTGTAGCTTTGTGCTTAATTAAAAAAAAAGAAAGAAAAAGCTACTAACCATTTATCAACTACATTGTTGTCATGATAGTAACTGTTCATTAATTATCGTTATTTGATAGTACCCGTTCGATAACTATTGTCGTCACAGTTAGTACCCGTTAGTTAATTATTGCTGTCATAGTGACCTTTAGTTAGCTAGTTAATTATTGCTGTCATAGTGACCTTTAGTCCGTTAGTTAATTATTGCTGTCATAGTGACCTTTAGTCCGTTAGTTAATTATTACTGTCATAGTGACCTTTAGTCCGTTAGTTAATTATGGCTGTCATAGTGACCTTTAGTCCGTTAGTTATATATTGCTGTCATAGTGACCTTTAGTCCGTTAGTTAATTATTGCTGTCATAGTGACCTTTAGTCCGTTAGTTAATTATTGCTGTCATAGTGACCTTTAGTCCGTTATTTAATTATTGCTGTCATAGTGACCTTTAGTCCGTTAGTTAATTATTGCTGTCATAGTGACCTTTAGTCTGTTAGTTAATTATTGCTGTCATAGTGACCTTTAGTCCGTTAGTTAATTATTGCTGTCATAGTGACCTTTAGTCCGTTAGTTAATTATTGCTGTCATAGTGACCTTTAGTTAGCTAACTTACAATATACATTTTAATTTGTACCTTGGGTTGATCACGTGACTCATCTCAGTTACGACGTTTTTAAGTGACCCTTGAGACCTTATCGTACATTTTATACAATTCGTAGTTATCCTCTTTTTCTTCTTTGTTATGACGTGTTTTAGCTGATTCTCAAAATTTATTATACTTTTAATCAATTATGTTGTTACTCTCCTATACTAAGGCGTTGTCTAACTGACCCCTTGAGACTTATTGTACATTTTAAACAGTTATGTTGTTACTCTCCTATATTAAGGCGTTGTCTAACTGACCCCTTGAGACTTATTGTACATTTTAAACAGTTATGTTGTTACTCTCCTATATTAAGGCGTTGTCTAACTGACCCCTTGAGACTTATTGTACATTTTAATCAGTTATGTTGTTACTCTCCTATACTAAGGCGTTGTCTAACTGACCCTTGAGACTTATTGTACAATTTATTCAGTTCTATTGTTACCCTTTGTGTGCGCTCCATCATTGCAATGATCTTCTTATTCTTGAAGAACATGTGGCAAGTATACGAAAAGTCATGCAGCGTATCAGAAGTAAAGCAGTCATTTTCTTAGTTACCTTGTCGTTGTTATAGTAAATCACCACTAACTCTAGAAGCTTGCTATAGTGTTGTGTGTTGAACAAAACATCACTTTAATATTGTTTACTGAAAACCTGACTTCAACACTTTTGTTATAATTGCGTTAGTATTGTTAATATGTGTTCAGTTAAACTCCTGTTTTTAGTATATTGTAACGATCACACATGATCTTGGTTAATAATATTATCACCACGACATTACTAATGTAGTTTTGACCGTATCCTTAACTGAATAGAAGTATTTACCTTCAGACTGTTGCTCTAGCTACGTTGTTATCATAAATGAAATACGAATTACATAAAACAAATTGTTTACTGGAGGGATTATTATGAGATGTTGCACCGAATTTTATTACCAGAGCTACGGTAATTACATTCATCTGGTACCTAACTGTTCCTTGCTGCATCAGCGCTTTTAGTCGGAATTCCAGTATAGAAAGCATCCGGTGACGAGCATTTCCATCGATCTAGCGTGGCGACATTGTTGCAGCATTTCGTAACGTTGTCTTTCAAGATTTGTAGTGCGTAATGGAGGGATTTACATATTTTCATAAAAAGTTTAAAAACAACGATCTTTATACTCCATAAAAAAATAAAAGATTTTTTTTTTCATTTTAACTAACGTTTCTTTCATATATCTCTGGAGTATAAAGGTCGTTCTTTCTAAACTTTTTTGTCGATATTTCATAACGTTCTTAAATAGCCACAACTCGATTTCCGAGATCTGGTGTATTCAGTTATCTCTTTCATAGTACACTACCGTGTTATATATTATGAAACATGAGAAATGTTATAAACACATACACGAAGAGTACCAATCTTAGACAGTCGGTATACGTTGTTTTTTTTCTGCCAAAACGTGTGTATAATAAAACTATGTTTTATCTAGCTTCGTAAAAATACACGTGACCAGCTTTTTAGTTGTAATATTTTGTTAATAATTCATAGAAATTATCATAATTGCTAAGTGTAATATTTACGACTTCTCTGGCGATGTTTTGTCAGAGCGATAACACTTTTATCCCTGAAATTGGATTGTTTCGACTAAAGCGATACTTTGTTTATGTTAATTATGTGTTCATCAGTGTCACAAGGTTTCATTTATGATAATCACATACACCTGAGATAAAAATATATACGTATTTTACGAACTACGATACTTTTTTTTATAATCTACAAAACAAAAAGTCGAAAAGTGATCTAGTTGGACAATCTCAAACATGACAACTACATCCATGTTAAGAATCTCAAACATGACAACTAACATCCAGGTTAACAATCTCAAACATGACAATTACATCCAGGTTAACAATATCAAACATGATAACTACATCCAGGTTAACAATCTCAAACATGACAATTACATCCAGGTTAGCAATCTCAAACATAACAACTACATCCAGGTTAGCAATCTCAAACATAACAACTAACATCCAGGTTAACAATATCAAACATGACAATTACATCCAGGTTAACAATATCAAACATGATAACTACATCCAGGTTAACAATCTCAAACATGACAATTACATCCAGGTTAACAATATCAAACATGATAACTACATCCAGGTTAGCAATCTCAAACATGACAACTACATCCAGGTTAGCAATCTCAAACATAACAACTACATCCAGGTTAACAATATCAAACATGATAACTACATCCAGGTTAACAATCTCAAACATGACAACTAACATCCAGGTTAACAATATCAAACATGATAACTACATCCAGGTTAGCAATCTCAAACATGACAACTAACATCCAGGTTAACAATCTCAAACATGACAACTAACATCCACGTTAACAATCTCAAACATGATAACTACATCCAGGCTAACAATCTCAAACATGATAATTACATCCAGGTTAACAATATCAAACATGATAACTACATCCAGGTTAGCAATCTCAAACATGACAACTAACATCCAGGTTAACAATCACAAACATGATAACTACATCCAGGTTAAGAATCTCAAACATGACAACTACATCCAGGTTAACAGTCCATGAGAGCTATGTCTAGCTGAACAGTCTCAAGCATGTTGATTAGATGTAACTGGATATGATACTTACGTTTAGCTTGTACATCAGTCTCCAGTTAAACCATTGACTGCGGCTGCTCTAAACGCACGCGGAATTTTTGCAAGCATCACACTCGCATTCAACTGCCGTAAGCGGAGCGTACCCTATACTTCAAATCAGCAGTCAATGGGTTAAAATCAGTTTACGTGTAGGAGGAGACTTCAGTTTGGAATGTTCAACTGTTAAACATCCGTTAAAAGTCGTTTGTTTATATTACTAGTGTTTTGTCTAGACTGTGCTTCAACAATAGTTCTTGGGCTAGAACCAACAAGAGAATGCTTCAACAGTAGTCCTTGAGCTAGAATTAACTGGGGAATACTTCAACAATTCCCCTTAAACTAGGATCAACAGGTAAATGCTTTAACAATAGTCCTTAAGCTAGGACCAAACATTTGGCCCAATTTGTGCCATTCGAAGAGCCACAGATACCAGTGTTTTTTTAGAAGGATATTATGTACGTAATTAATAACATGATAGAGTTTTCTAAATGATAGCTTTGTGTTGAAAAACAATAGTCCTTAAGCTAGGACCAAACATTTGGCCCATTTGTGCCATTCGAAGAGCCACAGATACCAGTGTTTTTTTAGAAGGATATTATGTACGTAATTA